TTTTCAAATCTTAGATAGGTATAATAGAAAAAGTTTTTATAAATTTCTGTCTAAGATAATTTGAACATTGCCGTAATTTTTACATATTTAGTCAAAGTTTGAACTTTAAATGCTTATGAAAACAAAAATCGTACCTATGTATTTTTAATATTTTTCAACTGCTATTGAACAATATGTTAGGTGTTAAAAAAGTTGAAAAATTAAAATGTCAWTAAACAGCTCAAACAAATCAMAATTTTATCAAACATAAAAAATGCCTATATGAATATTCAGTGAAAATTTCAAGTATCTGCGGTCATTTGTTTTAGAGTTACACCAAAATAAAAAATTTATTGAATGAGAAATCTAGTGAAAATCCAAWGTTGTAAAAATTTAAATTTCAAACGMTATAAAAATTTGATTTGAATTTCTGGTGGACATTTTACGCTCAGCAGATCACGTTTATCTCCGTTAGTTTAAAATTTAGAATCTCAGTGGATTGACCTATTATAAAGATTAAAGGCAAAATTATTATCAAATATCTCGCTCCGCTCAGAATCTAAAAGCTTCTAAAAAGTCGTCACAAAATACAAATTATTATTTTATTTTTATTTTTATAGATGCTTTTTACATATTCATACCTTGGTATTTTAGTAATAATATAAGTTTTCAATTATTTTTATCTACTTAAAACAATAAGAAGGCCAAACACAATAGGTATATATTTAGGTAGGAACTATCAAGGGGGTTCCTGTGGAGGGAGTGATGGGGCGACCGCTCTCCCCCCATAAGGTGATCTGACTTACACGGTAATTATTGGGGAATTTTACAATTTATACTTAAGTACTTAACATTTTTTTTTTACATGAAATTATAATATTAAATCAAATTTCTTAATATCTTGTTATATATAATTAACACTTATTCACGGTCATAGAGTCATAGAATTTTTAGAGAATATAATATATTATATAGTGGTGTATCTATATACATAGGTAGGGGTATTATAGGGGGGGGAGTGGGTTATTGAGCTTTAGCCCCTCCCGAAATTACAGTCTTAACTGTTAACTATATTGTAGTCTCTAGGTGCTAGAATAGCTAGATAATTATTGCTAGTCGCTATATAATTATATCCCACCCTAAAAATTATTTCTATATACGCTACTGATATTATATTATAATTTATAACTATTATTGATTCATATATTATATATATCAATTTATAATAAAATATTCTATGCTCAATTGTGTTGCTACAAAGGTATATAGGTACTCAATTGTGCTTTACCGTGTAAATAAATAAAATTTTTTTATAATTTTAATTTCTATAAAAAATTATCAAGTTCATCTGGGATGCAAACCCTAATCAGTAGGTAATTTCCAAYATCATATTTTCATTAATAATAATAATGGCAATTCATTATAACGCATTAATAATGCACATTATAAACACTGCATCTTCAATAATAATTAATAATTATATGTATACGGTGATTATTTGTAATTTTTTCTTTTAAGTACCTATCTATTTACAAAATATAGGGGCACATAGGGAAAAATTGTGAAGAACATCAAAAAATTACATCTAAAATCCATATCAGTGTTTCAATACTGATTTAATATGATTCATAAAACATCATATAACTTTTTATCAAAACAATTTTAAAAAATAGTTCACAAAAAAGTTAATTTAAAAAAAAAAGCACTCGTCATAGTTATAGTAGTTAAGGTATATTAGCATTATTGGTTCGTATCTTAGAATCTTAAAAGTATGAAAATCATTGTTTTTTTATTGTTTACCTACTTGTTAAATTAATATCACAATAATCTATTAAAATATCATTAACAGCATAATAATAGGTACATCAATTTCTTGTCCACCCATATTTTTATATAATTATTAACATATATTTTACAATATAATCACTTAATCACTTATTTATTTACACTACGAGTAAAATACTTTGATATCCATTTTACTTGTAGCCAATGAGTAAATTTCTGTATTACTCGTCTCGCTTGTGATAAAATTTACTTAAATACTCACTACGTTTGTTTATTTTTAAATCTGGTATTTATGAATAATTATTAATCATATTACACAACCGAACAAATACTTGAAAATTTAAAATCGACTACTAAAACTCTTATAATATAGTCTAATCACCATAAAAACAATTGATGATTCACTCTGTAAAACAAAACATAAAACCCTAAAACACAAATTCATCTTCTTACCTTTAAAAAATAAGAATGGAACTTGCCATTCTTTAGGTCTATTTAAATAGCAACCGTATTTTCAAAATTTCCCACGCAAATATTGTTGCACTTTTAATGACCTCAAAGGACCACCGAATAATTGAATAAAACTCTTTTATAGCCATTACAAAAATCACTTCCACCTAAGTAATTCACACCTAATGAAGTCCGCTAATTTATAATGAAGTCTCCCTCAAAACATCGCCTAGATGTGATCTCATTAATTCCAAAATAGCTAAAATGCCTATATAGCGATACAATTAATGTATGTAATTTAATTAAAAAGAAACCTTGTAGAAATTGTTTAATATGGTGTAATACTTTATAACTTTATTACATAAGCATAACATATACAGACATACAGTAAAGTATATTTTATATGCTATATAAAGCTTAAAAACTTTATTAACTTGATCCATTACGTAAGATATTGGACAACGATTTTTGGGCCGCTTGAAGGAGCCAATCCACCCTTGATATGGTATCAAATAAAATTTAGCCCTGAGAATCCACTGGGGTAGTCAGAAATCTCCCAAGGGAGGAGCCCACCAGATATAACATCAAAGTACGTATATTAAAGGATGTACAATTTAAATGCTGTCCATTATTTTGACCAGTCTTGTAGTTGCATTCTCCTGGCAGACATATTTTCAGGACGCTTCCAAAGAAACGGCCAAGTCTAGATACGATAATGCATTATCGATTATATCTTTTGCTATTTATATTTTATTTGGAATCGCATTTACAATTTACTATTTTTATTTTGGTTTTTTTCAAATCATTATTTAATTATTATATTATATAATACGAGTACTGAGTAGTATTGTGTTATACTATTCTATATACTACACGGACCAGGGGGGAGGGCCAAGAGGGGCCCTTAGGGCCCCTCCCTAAATACGCCACTGTGAGAATCAATTTGGTGCTCACTTCCTTTTACTTCTTCGAGTCCTTCGGCACCCCAATATATATGAATGTGAGAAAAATTATACATTTTTTCGAATAATGGTTCACCGGTAATGTGTGCACTAATTTTATTTGCAACGTCGTTCGTTTCGCGCGCATCCACTGTTTACTATTTTAATTTTAACACTATCTTCACGCCAATATCGAAAATGTAGCAAACTTAATAAATTGCGTTTATAAGAACTATTCTATGATATGTTAACTGGGGATCGTACTTCACCAGAAACAAATTTTTGTTCGACATACGGCCATTGTTTAGGTTCATCGCCAGATTCATCCGTACCTGTTTTTTTAATAAAATGTTATTAAATATCAGACCATGATGGTAAATATTTTAGTAGGTATTACTTATAATTTACTTGATCCATAAGGATCATTGATAGGAATTAAAGTTGATACAAATAAGAATAAAAGTACTTTAAACATATCTCCAGTAGTACCTTACTATTGTACCTACTATATACACTGCAGCTACGGGGACCGATAAAAGTCTAAAAATTAAACTTCAACGAAATTTCATAAATAAATGTCAAAAAATATAAATAGTTTTAGATGATGAACTTGTTTTAAATATATTACTGTAAATTAAATATTTGAAAGTTGGCACTAATTATTTATTACTTAAGTATATAACAATTATTTATTTTAAACAATAATGCATCTACTTATTTATTTTTCATAGTGAATTATTTATGTGTATATATTAAACTAATGTTTATTAGTTGTAAAATATCTGCCAAATATTTGTACTATTATAGGTCTCATTTTATTGATGGATGGTTCATAATTGATAATTTTATATGTATTACACTAACATAAATGATGGATTTTATGATGTTTTTAGATATGTGTAAATAATCTCCGATTTTATTTTGCTAGATATATTTCACAAGTGCTTTTTTTATTTAAATATTTTACTCATTGTATCTGTTACGTTATAATACGTATAGATGTTTGAGGGATGATCGTCAACCTATAGTATGTGGTCCTTAAATCACCATCCTGTAGAGGCATGAAGCTACTTGACTAGAATAACTAGAATTGTTGTCCTATCATCATACAGATATAATTTGGAAAAGTGCTAGACTGTTACACAAATGTCGTCTCAAATAAGAATAAATGTGCTCAAAGAGCACACTCTGGCAGTGAATCGGAGTGTTACGTGGTTACGYCGGTGATGATGGGTCCTAAAAAKAGCKATTTTCRRGTATTAGCCTAGACCGTAGTTGACTTTTTGAACTGTTCGGTGAATGGCYGATATGCGGATCATTGGCGGCGCTTGGTTTTACGTTTTTCTCCTCTGTGCCCTAAATCATTGGTAGAATTAAAGGTGTCCTATAGCGCYGACCGAGTATCAGRTCAACGCAGTAAACAGCATCGTATCCTCGTCGAAGACTTGAAAAGAATGTTTTGGTCATTGATCGCCACGATTGCTGGAAACGTAATGGAGTTCGACGAATGAATGACACTGCTGATTGGTTATCGTCTCGTAGGGTACTCTTGTCGTAAACGCTTTGATAATCAACGGTAATTCTTTTCACCGGTTATGTGAGTTGTGGTTAGCTAATTAAGTTAACATTTTTGAATTGTAGTATTTTATATAGGTAGGTACTATACGTACTCGTAACTCGCTTAAAAATTAAAATACCGAAAAAATCTAGTATACGAAATAAAATAATGTTTTGACCTTTAAGTCCAATATTATTCTATATTTTAATTACTAAATATAAGAAACTTGTAATATTAAGACTTAAGAGCTAATAAAATGACCCAATAAATATTACTACAAAAACATATCAATATCTACAAACAATAATTTATTTCAATTTTGATAATATTTCATAATTCATAAACCAAAACTCAAATAATGCACTTCAATATTAACTTTGATAGAAATATTTTAGATAATACTAAGTATTATACTTAGTAAGTAATAATAAATCTWTTGGCGCTAATAATGACGGTGTCAAATTAAATAAGTTTTTGAAGCTTAATATCCATAAACAATTGTTCTGTTATTGAATGGTTGAAGAGGTCTATCGTTTTCGTTTATTAATACTCCATTATGACTTGAATGTAACTCTCTGAATATCATTAACTATTAAAATTGAATGAAAATTTAAAAAATTAATATCATCATTGATTTATTAAAATAATTTTATCAATTTTACCTGTCTCCTAGATATAAGAACGGGTTTAGTAAAAATTATCCAGATTACACATTCTGTGAACGGTTTAGTTGTTAGAGATCCCGGGTAAGCGAAGTAATGTTGTTTTAAAGCTGTTTTCTTTATCCAAGAGAACTCTTCTTTAAAACTTCGAATTATCGACGTGTTTTGGTTGACTATGTACTTTAAATCTGCAATAAAATTACTCATTTCTCGATTGTCTTCTGTTGATATCTATATACAAATAAATAAAGAAAAAACTGAAAATTCCATATTGAACTTACTAGATTGATATAAGTTATGTTATATATATACATATATGTTTATCTAACCCATTATAATATAATATTATAT